TTTAAGAAATTGCAAGTTTGATTCTATTTTTGAAATCGTGCAACCAAAAATAATACACGTTCATTCGAAATTTGATCAATTTATTTGAAAATCCTTATTTCGATGGAACATCTATCTGAAGAAGTAAAAAATCAACCTTTTAAGTTTCAAGATCTTTTCTAATTTACAATTTTGAAGAATCAAATTTTGTAATTTAAAATTTTATTCGATTTTATTCTGAATCAGAGAAATAAAATAATACAACCAAATAAAATTATATATAAAAATTTTTCCATCAAGAATTGCAATTGTATTCATACATTCTAACATACATTCAATACTAATTTCATAATAATATTCACGTCATCCTATTTAAGAAATTGCAAGTTTGATTCTATTTTTGAAATCGTGCAACCAAAAATAATACACGTTCACTCGAAATTTAATCAATTTATCTTAGTTCAATGGAACGTCTTTCTGAAAAAGTGAAATCAACTTAAATTTCAACATCTTCTCTGGATTGTTTTGATTACAATTTCAAAAAATCAAATTTTGTAATTTAAAATCTTACTCGATTTTCACTCTGAATCACATAGAAATAAAATAATACAGGTAAATAAAATAATAGAGATTCTTCCAGCAAGAATTACACTGTATTTATACATTCTAATATTCATGAGTCATCATATATTTAAGAAATTGCAAGTTTGATTCTATTTTTGAAATCGTGCAACCAAAAATAATACACGTTCACTCGAAATTTAATCAATTTATTATTTATTAATTTATTAATTATTCTTATTTCGATTATACGTTTTTTTGAAAAAGTGAAATTACTTAATAAACTTAAGTTGAAACTCAAGTTCAACATCTTCTCTTCTCTGGATTATTTTGATTACAATTTCAAATAACCAAATTTTGTAATTTAAAATCTTACTCGATATTCACTCCGAATCACATAGAAATAAAATAAACACAGCCAAATAAAATTATAACAAAGATTCTCCCATCAAGAATCGTACATTTGAACATTGAAAATCGAAAAATATATAACCTTCGTTGGAGCAAGGATTGGCATTATTGCTCGTCATTAAATAACTCAATGACTAATGTAGAAATCTCGTTATGGATTTCGGCCAATGTTACGGCTGTTTGTTTCGAATTGGCGCAGTCATTAAATTGGAACGCGGCCGCGTAATATGGGCGGCAATTCAGTTTGCAGAAGCAAAGTTTATTGCACATCTTGCGCCGCGTACAACCGCGAAACGCACCCTGTAACAGATGGCCTGGCCCGTGGATATACAGAATGTTGCCATAAATCATTATTAGACTGGTTCCAATAAGAATATTCCTGGGCCCCATAATGAATTCCATCAGGCCGGCTGGTGACTCGACGATTCTCGTCGCGCAAAATCGAACGTTCCATCTAATTAATAAATCCTTCCTATCTTCACGTTGTAACGATCGTGTTAATTACAACTGTGAAATTTAATATCTCCGGCCGACACATGTACACACGTACATTTAATCAATAATCGAAGAAGGGAAATTAATATTGTATCTGTAATTACGATCGAATCGAATTTTTCCCCTCCTTTTTTTTTTAACTCAATTATCCTCAATCTCATTTCTCATATATTATACGCGAAAAATATAAATTTTGAATAATAATCATTTTGAATCGTTCATAATATTAATATTTCGTTAATGTAATAATAAAATAATAAAATGGAAAAAAAAAATAAAATGGAATGCAATAGTATCGATTCGATTTCATAATGATCAAACCTAACCTCAAAATTTCGACGATCTCCTTCTCTCGTTATTAAGAGAGAACTCTTTCCTCTCTCGAGAAAAATCGGCGAAAATTTTCAGATTTCAAAGAGGTGTGTTCCCCATTCCTCCGTTGGAGGTTGGAGATTCCTATCCATGCACGTTTATTCCATTTCATTAACCGATTAACGATTGATCGGCTCGATCTCCATCAGCAATGGATCTCCTCGATGGCTCGCGATCTCGTTCACGGCAATTACCACCTCGATAATTAGTGCAAATCGATGCATCTAGCCGCTTTGTCGCAGTCAGCCAGCGGAATATCCTGCCAGAAATCGAGCCGTTCTTGATTTCAATTCAAATGAAGCTTCTGAACGCGCGAATCGTACATTCCTCTCTCCCTCTCTCTCTCTCTATATATATGTATATATATATATACATCTCGCTCCTCCTTATGCCTTTCACGCGTGCAATTCATCCTCTGCCTCTGTATACACGCCTGTTTGCGTCTTTGTGTATCAACTTGGCATGGTTGGTGGAGAGTTCGATGAAGCCCGTGTTAATTGGCGCTTTCGGCTTTCGTCTTATTGTTGCTTAGTCTCGATCAAATTTCAACGCAACGATTGTTCCCACCGCTGGATGGATTTCGTCCTTCGAATACGGGAATTTTAAGCGTGAACGGAAGCAATAGACTCTCGAGAAAGGGAAAGTTATTATGAAGAATTTTAATCGTGGAAATTTGGAAAAAAATTTACGAATGATTCATTTTAAATTCATTTTTAAGGAAATAAAGGATATAATTTATTAGTAAAAGGAAATTTTTTATTTTCTCTCTTGGAAATGTTCGTGAAATATTTATATTTAAAAATAAAAAAAAAAAGAAAGAAAGATTCGTGATATTCGTATATAAATATATATATAGTTAAGCAAGAGTAGTAAGCAATCTCGAGTATCTCGAAGTAACGAAGCATTTCTGTTAATTTCTGTCTTTGAGCATTGAAGTGATCTCCATGCTAGTTACAAGCTAGGTCCAAGTTTTGGCAAAGTTCGTTATAAAGTTTGGCGAGTTCGTGAGTTTGATAAGTTGAGTATTCGGAAGTTCAGAAAAGTTCGAGTGCGGTATATAATATATATTCGGTATCAATAGTTCGATAAGTTCAATTACTCGAGGCTCAAAATAAATTCTGATTTCTGAAGATAACTCCTCGTTTGAAGCGGTGCTAATTGGTGAATAGTAACGATTTCGGATAGATTTAGAATACAAAGAAGAATGTTTCTTGAATTTTTTAATACGGAAAATTTTAAATTGCATTGTAAAAAGAACAAAAAGTTTCGTTTAAATTATTTTAATTTTTGTCACATATTTTTTGCTTCATTTTAATAAAGAAAAAAAATGAAGATTTTACAAGATGTACAAATAATTTATTCTAAAATTAAAGGACGAATGAAATTTTCATTTGAATTTATATTCTCTTTAGAAGAAAGAATTCATCTTTTCAAATTTTACATTTAGAGATCGATCGATGTATTAATTATACATTACATTATAGATTCTCAATGGTTCATTAAAAAAATTGCGAAAAATTTTTTTAACCGGAAATAGATGAAAGTAATGCATCTTCATTGAATTAACGATCGATGGAAAAATTAATTTAATTTAAAAATATATTATTATTTCATAGTTGAATGATCTGTCACGCATTGAACATTCGAAATATTCGGTGTTAATAAAATAACGAATGTTTTACAATAATAAATATCGAATTTTATTTTAATAAATACGTGTAATTCACTTAAAATTCACGCATAGAATTATTTAATTCTCCTTCCATTCTATTTAATAATTAATAATAATACAATTATAGCATCACCTACGTGTCTGAAGAGGCCAATTAACCTTGATCCAAGTTAATATCATCTCACTTTTCTTTAATTAAC